CTCACCTCAGCCTCCCAAAGGCACGGGATTACAGGCTGAGCCACTGAGCCCGGCTGTAACCCAACCTTTCACAACAGACAGCGGGCTCCCACACAGCGTCCCACTGGAGACTCACACTGGCCGGCAGCTCATGAGATGTGGAAGTAGCGCTGAACTTGAACTGGGAGACAGGAGACCTAGGATCTGTGACTTTGAGCCTCACCTTTCTTGCATATAAAATGGTCAAAAAGATGCAAGAAGCCAATGTACTGAAAGTGACTCATATGCTTTAAAAAAAAAAAACACCTCACTTCAGGTGGAAGGTCTTACTGTGATCAAGTGCTATAATGCCCTGTCACCACAGGCAGGACATGACCTCGGTCTGGTGTCAGCTCCTGAGCATAGGGCTACTCGAGTGGTTTCCCCTCTGGCCCAACTGAGGTGACCACTGAGCCATAATAAGCCCTTGGTCACAGCAAACGCTTACAAAGGACACCTACCTTTAATGTTGCTTCATCGAGAACCTTGACTTCCTCAATGAGTTTCTTTAGTTCTTCTGAGCTCAACAGGGAGATAACCGACTGACCAGACTGAGGGGCACAGTGGTCCCTGTCATCGGCATCCTTGGACTCAGTGAGACCCTCTGTATATTCTCTCAACTCTGAAAGGCTTTCATAAGGAGAAACAACACATGGTGTGAATGATAACCCTAGTAAGAGCCAACACTCGTTGCATAATGATTCTACTCTTAGGCATGGTGCTAAGCAACTAATATGCATCCTATTAGTTGATGCAATATATCTATGAGGAAATGATAGCATCCCTCCACTATACAAACATTTCTCAGCAGCGTAAGAGCAATAAATAAAACTAGTAAATGTAGAGCTTCTCTGGTTAAGACGGAAGACCCAAGTCCCAGGACATTCCTGCTATCCCTGCTCCCATGCCGCCTTCTTGCCCCTGACCCCATTCTGTAAAGCAGGTCTCGTCCATCTCCTATTTTCAGCTGAGAGAAAACTGAAGGTGAGCATGGTAGGAACCTGTTCGTGGTCAGAGTCAGTGCTAGAGCTGGGATCAGGACCCAGACGTCCTAACTCCCTGTCCACGGAGTTGAACCCATGTACAGATTGCAAGTGGAGTCCTTTTGGGAAGCAATAAGAATACCCAAGAGATGATCTCCTGGCCTTCCTGAGCAACAGCCAGACATTCATAGGTACACCAGCGTTCCAAGTCTCCATGGGTAATTCACCAGGGGGCCAGTCCCACCTCCACCTCCCCACCCTCCTGAGGCCAGGTGTCGAGAAAACTCCTTCACAAGGAAGACAGAGGTATAACACCTCCGGGTACTCACACATATACACACACATGTGAAAGAAGAGGCAGAACAATCCTTTAACTAGTGCATCTGAGAAATGTTGTAAATTATCTATAGAATTATTTTTAAAAAGAAAGATAAGAAAAAGGAAAGAGAAGCACTCGGTATAGACACTTACTTGAGTGAGAACCCCGTGTCCGAGGCAGCCGTTTCAGCAGCACCATTTGCAGCCGAGTCTTCATTGGAGGATGGTGTTGGTGACGCTCCTTCCTTGGGGATGCAGGGAGTTTGGCCCCAGGACACTGAAGATGGAAGGCACAGCAAGGATTTCATGACAGCTGATGACACTTGGCTGCTGATGGAGTAGAGTTTGCTTGTCTTCTCATCCAGTGGCTTCGTCTCACAAGACTGGGACCTGGTCAGGGGGAAGCTCCGTGCCCGCTGGCTTGGCTTCTTGAGGACGGGCCCTTGAGATGCCTCTATCTTCTGTGTTGACAGCAGCCTCAAGAGAGGGTCTGGGTCAGCGGGAAGGGGTCTCTGACTGGGCTGTCGCTCTGGAGGAGGGGACTCAGACACACCTGGGTCTCTGATCTCTGAGGAGGCAGGGGGCTCCAGGGTCAGTTGCTCTTGCCTAGGCTGCTGGTGGTCAAGAGTAGGTGGAGGCCTTCGCCCCAAGAGGCCAGAAAACCGTCCTCCCTCTTGCTTTCCAGGAGGTTTTGCAGCCTCCCCAGAGGAGGACTGGAGGCTCAGTCTCTGTGCTCCTTTGTCAGGAAGTTGAGAAGAGCCAAAGGTTTCAAAGGAGCTGATTCTCTGCTTGATGGAGGAGGAGGAGACCCGAGACTGTGGTCCCGGGTGCTCTCTGGCAGCAGGTGTTGGCTGGGCAGACGAGACCGCATCAGGCAGTCTTCTCGGGTCAGGAGCACGATTCCTCAAGCCTTTCAAGCTTTGACGAAACCAGGCTGGCTTGGGGGCCACCGGGGGCCCCTTCTTCACAGTGCTGCTGTCTGCTGACTTGTAAACTTTGGGTGCACCATTGGCAGTATCCGGCTTCGGCTGGGTCCCGTTGGTGTGGCCCTGTGTTCCATCTTCTTCACCCAGGCTGGCACTGGGCTGCAGTGGCATGTGGCTGTGGTTCTCGCTCATGATGGGGCTAAATAAGTTTTTGATGCAGTCGGAAATTCTAACCCAGGGGTCTTCGGCTGTGGTATCAAAGCTATAGTCCATCCGAGCTTGCCGCTTAAGCAGTGGATGTTTTATTGGGGATGTCTGGGTCACTAGAGAGCAGAAACAAGGTCAAAGCTGTACGTTACATCTTAGGGTGATTTTTCTTCCTAGATTGTAGTTTCCAAGCTAAATAGCAAGAAGGATTTCTGCAGAGGAGATTAGCAGCAGTGGAGGACACCTGGGCAGATGAGCTTAAGGTGCTATTACCTGACTGAGGTACCAACAGGCAGGAATGAGGAACCAGAAGTGGGAGTTCACTTCATAGCTTCCTAGTGTTTTAGCACTGGAAAGGTTCTCAGAGAACATCTGGTCCCATCTCTGGCATTTTACAAGTCAAGTAGGGTAAGGGGCCAAGTGAGGGCAGAGCCAGGGCGAGACCCCAGGTCTCCTGACTCTCCAAGTTCATTTCCTTTCCACTGCTCTAAGGAGTCTCCCAGACAACTCAAGAAAAATTTAAAAGCCAATGCAATTCTCTTACCTTTCAAACCTTTAAGACAAAGATCACGAATAGGCAGCCATATTTGCTTTGGTCCACCCATGTAATTCCAAAGCAAGGCAGATATGCACACCTTCAGAGGGGCCCACGCCAGCTTCCCACACTCTTCTAGCTCCCTGTCACTAGGTCAGCAGTTCATATTTATGCATCTGCCTGGCCTCTGAAGCCGTGCATTTGCAACTCTCCCTATACAGAGGCCATTGATCAGTTTGCTCAGCAAAGGAGTGTTTTCTCTCCCCCAAAGGGCTGATGAAAATTTCCAGGTAGAAAAAAGCCCTGTGACAATGATTCTCAGCACTGTCTACACATCAGAATCTGGAGGGCCTTAAATAATACTGAGCCACCCCAGGCTCTGGTTGACTACGCCTGGGCTGCAGTCTGGGCATTAGCAATATGATTTTCCCACAGGAAATTCCAGTGTGCGGCCTGCTCTATGCCTGCCAGGACCTTGTGAGGGAGCTCGTGGGTGTCTTTCTCAGAATCCAGCACTGAGCCAGCATCCCATTTGTGTGAGCAGGGTAGACTGTGCTGACTCCCTTTCCCAGGGACAGAGGGAGGTGGACCCATGTACTTGGAGGATGCTTGCTACTGGGATGTAGTTCAGTTTAAGGAGCACTGGTCCCTGTCCCTTGTCTCAATACCAGGCCTCAAAAAAAGCGAACTGTGCAGAGCATTCAAACTTGATGACATCAGAGAAACTGCAGGATCCAGGGTACCTGAGTAGTCGCTGCCAACTCCAGGCTTCTCGCAAGTGAATCCAGCCCTCTCAGCCTGCCTCTGCTTGTCTGCAGAGGCAACACAATGCTACTCATGCAAGGAGCTGTAGCTGGAGAATCAGGAGGCAGGGGCTCTGTGGGTAAGTCCTTTGCAGATGGGAGTGAAGAGCTCCTGCCAGTGAAACACTAGTATGTTCCTCAGTTGGGATGACTAAGGGAAGGGAGAGTGGAGGAGGTGGAGCCTCCACCAACAAGGAACCTGCTCTGGGTGAGATGTGCTAGATCTTCCCACAATGTCCCCTAACCTTCCAAAAGTCTTCCATACACTTTTTCTATAGTGCTTTGCAAACAGGCATATGGTTTGTAAAGTACACGTTTCTTTCTCAGTCACTAGGAGGATGCTGAGAGGACCTGATTCACCCATCCTTTTCTTTCTCTCTCTCCAGCACCTAGCACAGGGTCTCACAAGGCCAGCATAGAGTGCATGCTTACTGAATACATCATATGTCAGGGTTCCATGTGATCTTCACACCTTGCTGATGAGTGACTCTAGGATCAGAAAGGCAAAGTCAGTTGCCCAGAATCGTGACTCATGAAGGGCAGATCCAGGATTTCCTGACTCCAGATCTTATACTCTTTCCAGCAAGCCACTAAATATTCAGATTGTGTCTTAGCACTGCCAGGTATACCATGTGGACACACCCCTGCTGTCCACCTTATGGAGGTGGTGACCACCAACACAATGCTATTCATGCTTTTCGGACACTGCCTTCTCAGACTTGGAAATACTGAACACACCGGCTAGAACGTAGGCACCCTAGAGGCAGCTGCCCAGGATGGTTGGGTGGGTGTGTCTCTGGACCTCTTCCCAAGGGTTCCATCCTCCACTGACTATCTGGATCGGCCTGCCCTGCATTTCTGCCACCACTACCACTACAGCGGCACTGATCCAAGCAGGAGGAGGTCTCCCATCTTGGACAGCACCTCCATGTTCCTGCTCCCCCAGCACCTTGGACTCCTGACTATCAGCCGAGTCATTGGCCATGCCAATGCAGACCACGCTGATCCTCAAGCCAACTCAGGCTCGTATCTCATCACTGGACCCTTCTCCGGAAGGCGCTTCTTCCTGGATCTCAATGGAAGCTTACCTGGACTGGCTCTTCTCCGCCCTGACTCGCCCTCGGTGGAGGACGTGGTCTGCAGGCCGACTCCAGGTCCTGGGCAGCAGGCAGTGGTGTGGGGGGCTCTCCCTGCTGTGTCTTCCTGTGGCGGCAGCAGTGGCAGCAGCTCTCTGGCTTCCTGTGGTGTAAACAGGAAGTGAGACCGTGTCAAAACGGTAACCTCCAGCAGTGAGAAGGCAAGACACACTTTGATTGGAGAGCGGATATTGAGTGGCTTTCAATGAGAAGGTTATCAGTGGTGTTGTAAAAAGAGTCCTTTTCTCCAAGGGGCTGTCATGGCAGAACTGACAGCCGGATACCCACAGTATCCTTGACTTTCAACAGCCTGATATCCAGGACATGGGCTCATCCTGAGAACTTACATAAAGATATTGGCTTTTTGTGATAAGAACGAGAGACCCGGAACATGGACGGGGTTGGCACTGCTTCAGTTATAACTGCATCCTGGTGAACTACTTGTTCCAGGAGGATGCAGCAAAGAAACAAGGGGGCAAAGAAACTTCCATTTGGTGTTCCCCGAGTTAAAGTCAGGACACTCAGAGGAAAATACTTGTTAATCACTGTCAAGTGTTACTTGCTTTTCAAATATTTAGTGAGATGCTGCAAAGGATGGAAAATACCCAGTGCCGGTGCCATCACTCTCTCCATGGTACCTAGGGTGACATCATCAACTTATTTCAGAATTGTTTTTCACATTGGCCCAGGATGCAGTCTCAGGGTCCTTCCCAAAACAGCGTAAGGAATAGATGGACCAGCCGCCACATAACAATGCAAGACTGGAATAGAGTTTGGGATATCACACAGTATGATTAAGATGCTGTCATGGCGCAGAGGAAGCAGAGAGACCAGTTCTGTCCCAAGGGTGGACAAGGCTTTGCTAGAGAAGTTCTCTCTGCTTCTTAAACAGAGAGTAAGAATTTTCCAGGCAGAGGCAAGAGTGTTCCAGAGACACAGACCAACCAAGCATAATACCCGTAATCCCAGAAAAGAAGAATGGGAAGACAGACATCATAAGAATGACACCGCCTAAGTTCCATCATCTGCAACAGAAATTCTTTGCTATACCTCAGAGATCTCCACGGCCTTTTCATTCCAGACTCATGTGAGGATGGGCCTTTTGTCAAGGCTACAGGCTTCCCTCCAAAGAGGAAGGAAGGAAGGAGAAACAAATGCATCATTTGAGACTAAAAAAGAAATGGCAGACACCCATGGCCTGAGATGTAATATTTACATTGACAATAAACAGTATTTGGGGCCAGGCTCAGTGGCTCAGCCTGTAATCCCAGCACTTTGGGAGGCCGAGGCGAGTGGATTGCCTGAGCCAGCGGGTTCGAGACCCACCTGGGCAACTTGGCGAGACCTCATCTCTACAACAAATCAAAAATTAGCCGGGCATGGTAGCGCATGCCTTTAGTTCCAACTCCTTGGAAGGCTGAGGCAGAAGGCTCGCCAGAGCCTAGCAAGTCGAGGTTGCGGTGCCCAGGAGCGTGCCACTGCACTCCAGTCTGGGTGACAGAGTGAGACTCCAACGAAAAAACAACAACAAAACAGCAACAACAACAAAACAGTATTTGGGAAGGAAAGGCCTACAAAAGTTAGAAATCCTTTCACAAAGCATTGCCTCAACCTGAGTTCCCTATCGTATAATTGAGCCTTTAGGAGAGCACTTTAGAAATACTGAGAGACTGATTTACCCAATTGCTGCTAGACTAACCGGGCCTCATATTCCTCCACACCTTTGAGGGCTGGCTTTAGGGGAGCACATCCTATCAGACCACTGGTATGTGTGGCCAGATCCCCAAGTGGCCGACAGAGGAGTCAGGAGACCTGGGATTGCAGAAATGGGGGCAGCCAGTGTCCTCACCACCCCTTCACCTCTCTGGATTCCTATTTTTACCTGATGCTCTGGAGACATCTCTTCCCTTCTTGCAGCCCCCTAATGAATTTAAACCATTTTGAAAAAATATTTATCTAGTTTTGTTATTTTTGTAGATCTTTTGTTGAGCATATCTAGTCCACAAAACCCAATAAGGTATTTAGCAAGCCTTTAGAAAGAGAGTCTCAGTTTCATGACCTTCACAAAAAAGGCAGCCCCAAATCTGAGAGGGCTTGTGTGTCATGTTTACCTATTCCAAAGAAGTCACCCGGAGGTCCAGCAGGGAAAGACACTGTTTTATTAAACTTGCAAGGGGGTTCTGATGACAGCAGGTTGGTGAAGAAAGAATCTGCGCCTCAGGACAGCATAGCAAGCAGTTTTATAATCAAGCAAGTTAATTATTCAAATTCCCATATGTAAATTACAATTTACAGTGATTAAGAGTGACAACTACATTATGGTTAGGTTGGTTACCTGTATTCCATGGGAATGCAGGAAATGTGTGAATATTCGTCAGAGACTAGCTTTGGATAGAGGGTTGGGGGCCTGGGGAAGAAGCCAGGTACTGTGTAGGGAAAAATAGTCTAAGTCTGAATGCTTACCTCACACAAGGTATCAGAAGATCTGGAATCAAAGGTACGGGAATGGGGCTATTCAAGCTTTTTGTCTGTAATCCATAGGATGCATTCTTTTATATAGCTACTTATACACACATGTGTATGTAAAACAACACGTTCACAATACCCTTACTCTGCCTGATGAATATTGATATTTTTCTATTCTGTTCCTTTTCTTTCTTTCTTTTTTTTTTTTTTAAAGCTGATTGTGACTTAAAAAAAAAAAGAAAAAAAGAAATACCCAGAGACCAACTGATTCAAAGAAATCATCTGACTTCTCAAACTAGTTCTTCAAAAAAGCAAGGGTTGGCCATGGAATTGGAAGCTTAGCATATTAGGCTAATGGGTTCCAAGACTCTCATCTCCAAGAAAAATGACATGTGGATGAAATTAAATTTCACCCGGTTGGGAGCTCTGTAACTGGCATCTGTCTACATTCATGAATTGTTAGCACGTTTATAGACAAGCATATTTGGTACCAACAGCAAGTAGTCAAAGCAACTTTACAGCTTGGAACGGACACAAATGTATTTTGTCTTTTAATCAACACATCTGATGTTGCATCCTCTTCATGGGAAGTTGTCAAAATTAGCCTCTGAAATAAATTGAATTTTACACACATTTTTATCTGACTGGTGTTTCCTGGCACTGTGCTTGGTGGATGAGGGAGGGCGAGGGGAAAGCAGGAAAGATCAGAGAATTGGATTTAATGGAAAGGGAAGACAAGTTTTTTATTTGTTTGTTTTGTTTTAATGCAGTTGATAGTTCGAACTGATTTTTTTTTTTAAAGATGTGGGGTACAATTCAGGATTAGGTATACAAGTGGTCGTTGTACAGGTAAAGTTTGGGCCTCGCTTTGGTCCCCACTTCACCTGGTTTGAGGTCAGGTATGCTTATTGATGTTATGTGCCCTCCCCTCCCTCCCCTGGCAGTTTCAGGTTACTACCAATCCCTTTTTATAGTATTATGGTAAATGTTCAGGGTCTGCTTATAAGTGAGAACCGAACTGATTTTCTAGAAGGGAAAGAGTTAGCTTTTTGTTGAAGAAAATATCCCAAAGTTCATTTGGTTGTGAGAGTTGTGTCCCCTTGAGTTAGAGTGAATGGGAAGGATTTGGGGGTCATCCACAGTAGCTTGACAAGAGTTTTGGGACCCTGGAGAGAAAAGACTGCAGAGGAGGCAAAAGGGAGGGAGATACAGTGTACACTGGGGCCAAGGAGGAAAACATTCAGTGAGAAATCCCCAGGAACAGTCAAGGAAATTTTAGGAATGATGTCAAGAAAGTTGTTTCCTGTTTTCTGTCATGCTATGATCTTTGCTCGTATGTTGTATTGGTTGTTCCTTGGGGAAAAAGTTGTGGTAGGGGGGTCTGCTGGCCATGTGGGACAAAGCAGAGGGGACAGAGAAGAGCAGCTGCAGGATGGCCTTTGTCTTCAGAGGACGGTGCTGTGGTGAGAGGATGCAGAAGGGAGCAAACATTTCTGATGAGGCAACTCAGGGTGCCAGAGGTGAGGGAAGGTTGCTTATGAGAAAGCTCTCTCAGGAAGAAGGCTCTTTGCCTGGACTTCCCTGAGGAAACCCTATTCCTCCTCCAGCCGCCTTACTTGGGGACACTCCCTGCCCTGTATGTGGCCCTGCCTGGGCCTCACTGAACGGACCCACAGTGCCAACTGCACTTCTTTTCTGACTCCAGGAGGAAAGCAAAAAAGCCTGGCCTCTCAGCCTGCTCGCTCCTGATTTTCCCTTCTGGACTAATGGGGTTCAAGTCCAAAGGAAAATGAATTTTTTTTTTTTTTTGAGTTGAAGTCTCACTCTGTCACCCAGACTGGAGTGCAGTGGCCGCTCCCAGCCACCGCAGCCTCGACCTGCTGGGCTCCGGCAATCCTTCCGCCTCAGCCTTCCAAGTAGCCGGAATTACAGGCGCGCGCTACCATGCCTGGCTAATTTTTTGATTTTATTGTAGAGATGAGATCTTGCCTGCCCAGACAGGTCTTGAACCCGCGGGCTCAGGCAATTCACTCACCTCAGCCTCCCAAAGGCGTGGGATTACGGGCTGAGAAATATTTGCTTAAAGGAGGAGGTGGGGGCGCAAATCCAACCCGACAAGTCCATCATGTGTCGCTTAACCAGCTACATCCTGCCAGCGATCTGCAAAACTGCACTTCCTTTTTGGTAACCTGGCTTCCTCCCTCCTCCTTCACTTTCACCCTCCTAATCAACACCTCCCACCCCAACTACCCTGTCACCCCCTCTGGGGTTTCCTACCCCTCCTGAAGTTTGCCAGGCCTCGTTACAGATTACTCTAGGGATTTTCTAGGCCCCATCCCAGTTGCCCTGTGAAGACAGCTGCTGGGAAGGATAGGAAAGCCATGGTGGTGTAGTGGGTAACTGTGACCTACTAGCAAGATAAGCTTGAGCAAGTTTCTCAGTTCCCTCTTTGCATAACTGGACTCCAGCACCAGGTTGTTATGAGGATTAATTGAGACAATGTGCATGCAAGTACTTAACAGAGTGCCTAGATATAAAAATAGTTCAAGCTGTCTGTCAGTTGGCCTTCCTGTAAGAGAAAGGATGGAGTGAGTGAGGAAAGTCTTTTTTTTTTTTGAGTTGGAGTCTCACTCTGTCGCCCAGGCTGGAGTGCAGTGGCTGCTCCTGGCCACCGCAGCCTCGACCTGCTGGGCTCCGGCGATCCTTCTGCCTCAGCCTTCCAAGTAGCCGGAATTACAGGGATGCGCTACCATGCCCGGCTGATTTTTTGATTTATTGTAGAGATGAGGTCTCGCTGCCCAGGCAGGTCTTAAACCCGTGGGCTCAGGCAATCCACTCACCTCAGCCTCCCAAAGGCACGGGACTACAGGCTGAGCCACCGAGCCCGGCTCCCCACATCTTTAAAATAAAATTTAAAAAAATTTTTTTAAATTAAGATATTTAAAATTAAATATTAAATTTAAATTTAAATTAATTAAAAATTAAGGCCCGTTTTGACGTCCTGAGCACAAGCTATCCCTCTGCCTCAGACTCCCAACAACAACAACAACAACAACAACAACAAAAGAAGTAGGGTGACCAGCCACTGTCTCCTTTGAGTTATTTAGTTATATTTTTTCTCCCTGCAAATCGTGTACCTGCAGATATGGGTGCAGAGACTCGCCTCCTCACTCTCAGAACAGCCCTCCAAGAGCCCTGGTGTTTTTCCATCATGGCGAGAGTGAAATCCAGTCATACAAAAGGAAACTTAAATGCCCATGTATTCCATGTGGGAACCCAGAAGCCAGCAAGTAGGACCTGGGCTTCAATGTTGGATCTGCCAACCTCCAAACCTATCTTTCCATGGGAGCCTTCACAGAGAATGCTCAAGAACAGCTATGTGTGATGTGGGAAAACAGTTCATGGACACATGCTTGTCCTCTTACCTGGCCACAGGCAGGCAAGGTTTGCCCAGAAGGGCATGAGGAGTTATCTCTCTCTTCCAGGCTCTTCTGAGGGTCACTGTCACTTTTAAAGTATTTTCTGGGTGGAGGCTTGGGCTTGGAGGATGTCGGCTTTCTCACTAAGATCTCAAAGGATTTCTTCAGTCTCAGGGGCGGGTGGCCGTCCTGGCTCTCTAGGAGGGGCAGGCTCCCCTGGGCCAGCCTGGAAGACACCAGGGGAAGCGCCCCTGGGTCCTGTACGGGGGACAGGCTGGGGCTGTGCCTGCTGACTTCCAGGTCAGAGGGCGGCTGCTCCACGCTGCCACTGCCAGGACTCCCCCCTGGGGAACCAGACATGTAGCTGCTGTCGCTGCTGGAGCGGACCATGACCTTCTGAGCCCTGCGATGCGGGGGCGCGGAGGTCTTCTCTCGTTCCTTCTCCAAGGTGGGCCGCCCATGCCAGCTGCTCTCCAGCCTCTTGACACCTGTGTGGGAAGCACAAGGAAACCTCCACAGCTGAGCTTTGGGGGACAAAAGCACTGCACATCGGCTGCCTGCTTCTCATGGGAGGTCACGTTAGACTTAGAGCACGGCAACCTTGGGTTTGGGCCCCCGTGAGCCACAGGACTTTGAGCTAGGAAAATCTTTCAACCCTTCTGAGCCAACAAGAGATGGATATGGAGATATGCCACCCCGATCCAGGAATGGCCTGGTGTCCCAGCAGTGGGGCGTGCTGGCAGCAGACCTCTTTCAGCTGTCCCCTTCAGGGATGGCCCCAACTGCAGAGAGCTGCCTTGCCCGGGGAGACAGCCCTTCTTTAGTGACTGATAGAGGTGGGTTACAGAGGCCCAGCCATTTCTGCCAACTCAGGACAACTCTCACGGACCACTTGGGCTGCAGAGCCACAGATTGGCTGGAGCTCTCGGGTGCTCCTCAGCTCTGCTCCTCCTCTGCCCAACCCTGCTTCCTCCCCTCCCTTCCACAGATGTGGATTCCCAAGACACTTTCCAGTAAACACGCTGCAGGCCAAACTCTGTCTCATGGTTGGATTCCTGGGCAACTCAACCCACAGCACTCCATTTCTGTATCTGGAAAATGGGAGTGGCGATTCCAAGGTCACTGGGCTTGTTTTGAGGCTCAATGCCAAAAGAGAGGCTCCCTGTGAAGGCACTCTGGATCTTACACCTTTTTTTTTTCCCAGCTGGGGATGAGGCAAGAGAAGAAAAACCATGATTTCTTAGCCATAGCACCCTCTTCTCTTCCCCTCCCCATGCAGCCTTTCTTCCTGGTTCTCAGCCACCCCCACTTCATAGTTTCTAGCACTAGGGCCATCCACACCTCCTTAAGGGGCCCTTCTTTCCAGTGTTAAACTGTCAAAGGTTCCTCCTTTCCTAAAATCACAGCTCAAGGTGGTGGATTGAGGCCTAGTGTCCTGCTCAGATTCCAGCTCATTCCAAGAAGCCAGGAGAACCAGATAAGCCCCATGAAAGAGCACCTTTGGCCTTAGGAGAGAACCAAGGCCTGCCAGGCTCCTAGTTCACATTCTCTTTAAAGAAAATGTTTATTTTGCTTTTTTATGGTCATAAAATAAGGCATCTTCATGAGAGAAAACTCAGCCACAAGAAGGAAGGAATGAAAGTAAAAATTCATCTGTGATCCTATTAGCCAGAGATAACTACTGTTAAAATCTTAGTGAGTTTCTCTGTCTTGTTTTCCTAAGCACATATGCGTGTTGGGTGGGTGGAAACATTAGCCCATAGCTGAAATAAAATTTGGTGTTCTGTTCTTTTCTCTTAATGTTTTCCTAGGCCATTTAATCCCATTGTCAATATCAGTGCTGATGGTTGCACATTGTTCTATTAAATGAATGTTCCATGATGACTTGGCCAGTCTCAATGACTAGGAACAGGAGTCAAGCCAGCTGAGTTTCCATCCCAAACCCTCTGTGCACTAGTGGTGTGACTTTGAGTAAAGGAGTCTCTGAGGGCTTCCTATAAAATGTGCATAAAAATTGAACGTGAAATAATGCATGAATTAGCATAGTCTCTGCCATTGTAAGAACTCAATAAATGTGAGATACTATAGTAGCAAACATTATTTTTCCCAATATTTTATTATTATAAACCAGAGGTGAACTCAAATGCCTTCAAGGGACAATTGTGCAAATGCCAACCTGGTATAAGATAAAGAGAATGGTAGAGACTATAGGGAACTGGAGAGTGCCTGCCACATTTATAACAATTCAAATTCAGATGCTTTCAAAATCTTGTGTCTTCCAAACAAAGCAAAAATGTGAGCCACAACTAGCTGGTGGGCTGCCAGCTTTCAACCTTTGTCTACAGACTGTGCTTGTCTTACTATTCCTTGGGCAGAGGCTAAACCCTAAGCTCTCTAAGAAGGTTTTCACCATCGTTCTTACCTTCGAGACTCCACTGATGCCTCTCCTTCCCAAACTTGATGTTATCCACAGCCTGGGCCACAGCTTCTTTGAGTTGCTGTTCAGAGACCTGGAAAATATTCATCACTCACTCAAACACCCAGTAGAAATTCCTGCATCAGTCTCCCAGTCCTGTACCGGTTTCCAAGCCAGGTCCTTGGTTCTAGTACCTTTTCCTTCAACCTACTCTGCAAAGAGCAAATTCCTCTTCCAGAAATACATTGAGCAACAATGGTTCCCCAGTATCCTCTAGATAAAGTCCAAAGTCTACCAATAAAGGTGGCCCCTCTCAACTCACCAGTCCTCTCCTCACTCACAACTCAAGGCAAAGTTACTATTTCATGTTTTTATCTCTGTGAACTATTCTCACTTTTTACAACGCTGTCCTGCCATCTTCGTCGTCATTATAAACAATGTCAGAACCATCACGATTGCCACTATATCATCTGTGTTGTGGCTCACAGGTCATTATCACTTTCAAGTAATAGTCAAAATAGGAGTCTTGGAGTGAAACAGATTTGTGTTCTGGTCCCAGTTCCTCCACTGTCTAGTTGTGTATATCCAGACAAGTTACTTAACCTTCCAAGTTTCAATTTCTTCTTCTGTAAAATGATAACAACAATACAACCTACTTCTCAGTGAGGACAGAAGGTTTTAAAAAAATAAGTAATGGGGCAACCCCTTCGGGTCCCTCCCACTGTGGGAACTTCTCTGTCCTCTCAGTAAATCCTGCTTTCTCACTTTCTGGCTGTCCGTGTCCCTCATTCTTCCTGGGCATGAGACAAGAACCTCCACCCTGAAGACTTGCGACCTGAAGAGCTACAGAAGATCATTGGAGTCGAAGAGCTGTGCACCCCAGAGGTTGGCTTGTCAGTTATGGAGCCAGCTGAACCAGGAGAGCTGCTGGAAGAAAGCGAGACTCTGAAGCTGAGACACCCAGGGGGCTAGGCTTGCCAGCCCACCAAACCAGCAACACTCTCAGGGCTTGGCTTGCCAGCCCATTAGAGCCAACAATCCAGGGGCTTTTCTTGCCAGTCCATTAGAGCTGACACTTTCAGGGCTAGGCTTACTAGCCCCTTGATGACCCTCTCTGGGGCTTGGCTGGCTGACCCATTGAGCTGACACTCTCGAAGCCCAGGCTGATTTGAAAAATCTGCATCAGTTTTGGTGCCTGAACATGGGGCTTGACGGAAGGGTGAGTTAAAGTGAAACTATCACTTTACTTTCATTTCCGAGGATCCTTGTCTTCAAGTTCTTTACTCTCTTTATAGAATAAATTACTGGGATTCTACCAGTCAGTTAAAAGTGAATAGTGTGGCTGCCGGTCTATGACATGCAGAAGTCAGGCTTGCTGGAGAGGACTTGGTTAATCCTCCATCACTCTCAGGTGTTGGGAATATTGGCCCTGTTCTGATCCAGTTTCTTTTCACAGAGGTCTAGCCGTCACATGGAATCAGAAGAAGCTTGGGGATAATTGAGGACATCTGGCTAAGTCTACACCTTGGTGTTACACAAAGCCTTCCAGGCTGACCCCAATTCCAGACAGCCCTATAGGGTGTCCGCAGAAGGCTTCCAGTCTCTATCACACTTTTTTCAGCCTCTCCTATCACATTTTCTTTTCGGGATTGCCATGAGTACTATCCCCACTTGGTGCTTGGTGACGTGGGTGTTTTTGTAGCTTAGGGAGTGGCGTTCCTAGACAGTGCTGGCAACTGGCTTGATCCTTGTTGAATAAGAGCTCGGGACAAGTTGTGTTCATTGGTCCATGAGGCAAAATGTAGGAAGTTTTGGTTTCTTTCTTCTTTTTTTTTTTTATCATGTTGGGAAGCATTGTAGCTGGCAAGAATGAGAAACTGCTTTATATAAGGAATTTAAGCCTTATGAAGTTAGGTCCCTACATTTGGGGACTCTATGGGTAGACAGATGTTCAGTGAATGTAGACTCTCCCCTCTGAGAACACTGTGTCAGCTCTTTGCATGCTGACTATGCATACCTTATGTTGAAATACCTGGTTGACTGTGGGTTTAGGCTTTTTGGAAAATGTCAGGGACTGTCTCAAAAGATCTGTACTGGCACTTTGATGTCTCCATATTTGTAGGCCTGAATGTCATAACCTGGCTCAAACCATGGGCCTCAGAATCCTGCTCCTAAACCCAATTATTCCAAGGTCCTTTTGAAGATCTAGCCTGGCAAGGGGGAATGTTAGGTTTGAGGAATCCAGAGGCACAGTCGACAGAGCATAGGAGAGGTATTAATGCGTAGGTGAGCGTGACTATTCCTACCAACCGGGTCCCTACTGCTATACTTGGGTAGAGGTCACGCTTGCATCCAAGGGGACACCATGAGCAGAGAAGGACAGGAAAGTGAGGGAACACTCTCCTTTCTTCAATCTTTATTTATGCACATTAGTTGGAGGAGGGAAAGCTTAGGGAGGCATTTCTTTGCCTCTCTCTTCTTCAGATGGGTAACAGGCCATCAGGCTATCTGCAGTGTGCACTCAAGAGTGCAGCCTGAGACACAGGGATCCTTTGATCCTCAGACTTTAAACAGTATCTTAAATTCTTTTGCACCCAATCATGGCTGAATTATAAGTTGTAGGATGGAGAAACCTGGTCTCCAGAGGGAGGAATCAATCATAATACAATCGTGCAGCTAGACAGTTTCTGTAGATGCCAGGGCAAATGATCCGAGACCCCATATGTACAGGCTTTCTTTGCATTGTGAGAAAAACCGAACCTTTGTCAACGCTGCAGAATCGATTCAGCCCACCTAGCAGTCATCTCAAGGGAAGGTCCCAATGGACCGGGGATGCCAACCCCAAAGGCGCCACTGGAAAGCATCATCTTGTGAGGCCACTCCACCCTGTCCATCTTGCCCTCCTTATTCAGGTCCTCCTTGTACTTCAAGCCATTCTCACTCTAAAACCCCTCATTCTAGAAGGGCATTACTTATGCCCTTACAAGAGATGCTTGGTGAATATGGCCCTAATAAGGTACAGGTTCCCTTTTCCCTATGAGACTTGAAACGAATCAAGGAAGATCTCGGAAGGTTCTCAGATGACAAGTATATAGATACTTTCCAGAATTTAGTGCA